ATATATATATACATATGTATATATATATGAATTTGAATCTTTTCCATGGAGGGCTGAGGCAAAGACGGTGTGATTGCCAGTACCCCAGGCTCACTCCAGAATGGGGCACCAGAGGTCAGCTGGAGAGGATCAAGTTTTTACCCAGAAGGTCCGGAAACCAAGAAGGTCCCCACTGTAACTGAGAAGGATGGACTCGTATCAGATATCAGGGGTAGGAACAAGGTCATAGGCAGGAACTGAGACAACCATTAGTAGGCTGGGTAGGTAGATAAGAAGAGCTTTCAGTAAATAAGCTATGAATGACAAAGGAGTGCTGGAAGACCATTGCTATTGGGCTCATCACATGGTAGTTTGGGTTTAAAGGTAACATGCCACTCTTTAGGCCTCCTTGTCCTGGCATGGCCTCTTGGGTTTTGCTTGTGTGTCTATAACATGCCCCCATGGTTTGACTATGGTGGACTACAAGTTCCCACAAGTATTTCTCTTACCCATATCCCTCGTAATACTAAACCAAGTTATGGAGATGACATTGATGTGAATGCAAATCCAGAACTTCCTGTACCATGCATTCAAGTTCCTTATTTCAAATGCTAGGTGTAGGGCTTGAGGCATGGGGTACAGAGCAGAGTTACAAGGTATTCAATCTCAGGGGTTGAATAGATCCTTGAATTTAAGGCAGGATTGGGAAATGTGTGTGTTCTGGTAGAATAAGGGTGGATGTGTCCCCCCTCAGGACCGATTCTTGTAACTGATCAGTGATGCCAGAGGATATCCTATAACTCTTCCTGGATAGCCCAAAGTTGTTCTGGATATTGACCATTGGCTGGGGTTTGGTAGTTTGGAAAGTTGTTAGGATGAAAGCCCTTATTTACTGCGAAAGGGAATATCCTGGGTAGATGAGAGCAGAGAACAGATTTGGTGATTACTGAAGTTTGCCTCATTGTTCTGAACTCTACCCACAGGATTTCATGAATCTCAGCTCCTCCTGCACCTCTCCCCTTACTTTCAGTCATCATTTTTATCCACCTAGCAGGTGCTTATTTGTCGTCAGTACCACACTCAGCCAGTGAGCTAACCGGCCATCCCTATATAGGATCCGAACCCGGGGCCTTGGTGTTATAAGCACCGCACTCTACCGAGTGAGCCACGGGCCAGCCTATGCAGGTGCTTATTTGGAACAGGATGGTAGATGAGCCTTTAGGACCAGGGTTGGCTTGGCAGTCACCTGAAATCCCAGAGTACAATATAGCAAAGATCTATAAGTGGGTTATGGTTCCCCCACAGCTCTGGAGTCTTAGTATAGGGCCTGATTTAGCCAGAGTGAGGGAGAAAGTTTGGCCAGTTTCCCCGACATTGGTGGGCTGCAACATTTCTGGCAAAAGATGTAGGTGGGAGTCTCAAACAAGGTGTCCACACACAAAATGCCCATGTGTTCCATGCGATAGGTAGCTCTTCTCTTTCTGGTTGGGTCTTCTCCAGGATAGGTCCCCAAACACTGATAAATTTTATTCTACCTACTATAGTCTTGCAATGTGTGTGCATTTTCACACTGTTGCCTATTTTAAATACTGTTGCAGTGTTTTAACTTTAAAAATGTCTAACACTATCAGCTAAACATAACTACTTTTGACAGTTTTCATGAATACTTCTTTCTCTGATAAATTGTCCAAAAGCAAATAGTGTTTAAAATGAGTACTTCCTTAATTTAAGTTCTATATTGAGAGTTTTTTTTTTTTTGGTGGCTGGCCGGTAAAGGGATCTTAACACTTGACCTTTGTGTTATCAATACCGTGCTATAACCAACCGAGCTAAACGGCAGTCCGTTTTCTCAATTTTTTGTGCTTTCAATAGGCCTTTTTAAAAAGACAATATTTCCAATAGGAATAAAGGAATGGATGATTTTTGCTATCGATAATTCTGAAAAAAAAATTTAGATTTTAAATACTATTTTAACTTTGGGATGTGAGATAAAGAGCTGAGAAATACTTGTTTAGATCACTAGGTTCCTAAATTTTTTGGATCACATACTTCTGAGAACTTGAAGAAGGCCATAGACCACTGTTGGACTTAACGCAGTGATGGAAATGCTCTATATTTGCACCACCCAATACAATAGCCACACACAACTATCAGTCACTTGAAGTGTGGCTAGTATGACTAAGGAAATTTAATTTTACGTAATTTTAATTAATTTAAATTTGAATAGCCACATGTGGTTAGTGGCTACCATATAGAATGGCATAGCCATAGACTCTTCTCAGAAAAATGCTACATAGTATTTCAGAGAAACTTAGAAGCCTACTTATGAGTTTTAGGTAAAAAAAAAAAAACCAAAAACAAAAACAAAAAATCTCTACTACTGCAACTAAGAGCTAACATTTTTTTTTTTTTTTTTTTGTCTTTTGTCTTTTTCCGTGTCCGGCAACGGATCGCAACCCTCAGTGTTGCCCCCGTACCGGACCGGGGACCGGCAACGGGATCGCAACCCTCGATGTTGCCCCCGCGCCTCGCAACCCTCGATGTTGCCCCCGCGCCTCGCTCAGCCAGTGAGCAGGAACCGGTCTGTATGTGGGATCCGAACCCTCGGGCGGGAGCACCGCTGCACTCCCCAAGCGGCGCACTTATCCAGTGCGCCACCGGGCCGGCCCAAGAGCTAACATTTTTGATGACTTACCATGTGTGCCAGGCATTATTCTAAGCCCTGTATCTATGTAGCTTGCTTAACCCCCACAACCTCTTCCACAGAGAAACTGAGACACACAGAGGTGACCTGACATGCTGAAGATAACACAGGAAGTCAACAAGCTGACTTAAACCCAGGCTGTCTGACTTCAGAGTTCATACTCTTACCATAACATTGGGTTGTTCCTTCTTAACATTTTCTGTAATGGTTTATAAAGGCTTTTAGAAAGATGAAGTGGACTATGTAAGGCTCAGAAGTCATCAATATGCAAACCAGTAATATGCGATCCAGTTTTAAAAATAATTTGCCTTTCAACTATTCACCAATAGCAAAGATAACTTTTTAAATTCACAAAAATGTTGATAAAGCATCAGAGCCAGCGTAACTACAAATAAATTTTATAAAGTATCAAAAAATGAATAGGGTTAAATTATATCCATACATACACACACACAAAGTTACACAACTGCCCCATAGCACACGTAAATTAGAAATGTCCAAGAGTTTTCGGTTGAAATAGGCAATTGCTCATAAAACGTTGTAGAACTACCCGCTGGTGAATAATTTTCAGTATGTGAAAAACTTATAACTGCAAGTCTTCATTTCTCACCAAATGGCTGTCCTAAATAATTTATTGTTCCAAATCTTTACACCCAGATCAAGGTGGATAGGAAATGTTGCAAGCTTCTTTAAGCTGGAAACATGAATCCATCAATTCAGTAAGATTTCAGTCACCTAAGTGCAGGATATTTAATCATAGAAAAGTTGCAGGGGACCCTCCTGGAATGGTGTTTACAGAAAGCATCATTTCATGGCAAACCCTGGGCTTGTTATCTGGATTTGGTGGTGCATACTAGTTGACTCACCCAGTCATGGCTCTGGGGGAGGCAGTGAATGGCGGTGCCTCTGGAGTGAACATGACAGGACCCCAAAAGTACTCTTGAAGGAACTACACGAGGGGTGGCCTATTTTTCTGTCTTCTCCAATAAGGGTCCAAAAACTCTAGACAAGATTTCCCAAGACATTTAAAGAAGGGATAAACTTTGGGTAACAGTGCTTGTGAGCATAAAGTGAGCATAAAAGCATAAAGCCTTTCCTGTCTTCTGCCAGATGAGATAGCAAAAGCCACCACCATTTCTGCTCTCGTTCCTTAGGGCTGTGTAAGTGAGCTAGAACAACAGCCAAGTGGCCTTGTGTAGAGTGAGTGGTCTCAGTTGACTGTTCCCTTCAAAAGGATAAGGCAAACTCAGTGTGGCTAGTGTTTACAAGAGATGCGCTGAGTGTGGGGGCCTAGAAGCTGGGCTGGACTGGACTAGGCTGTGCTGTTACACAAGAGGCTGTGCTTAATGCACTGCCAATTTCCAGGTGGACACTTTACTGAAGGAGATAAAAGATGAGGCAAGAAGTCAAGGGCAGAGATAATCATAAACAGGTCAGGAAGTAGATTTCAAAATGTAGTTGAAAGACAGAAGTCAAGAGTAGAGCATAAACAAAGCAGGGGTCCCAGAAGCTCTCTTGTACTAGGTACAGACCAGGAGGTGTGGGAGTCTGGCTGGCTTAAGAGTACAGAGCTGAGATTAAACCCTCTGCCCACCCTGCCGGGCACTTAGATTCCAAGTTAGAGAAAGCAAACAAGACACACCAAAACATAAAAATACACAACTCATCTTCCTGGTGTTTCAAATATTTATTTTAGGTAGTAAAGGCTTTTATTGTTCTGAACCCTGATTACAAGTCACATGATCAAGAACGACTGAAAAAGGAGATTCAGGAGCATGTAAAAAAAACTACAGCACCTTACAAATATCCCAGAAAGGTAGGCATCCTGGAAAATTACAGCTGTTTTTTAATGAACATTCTTTTTAATGAACACTCTTCTCAAACACGCTACAACAAATGTTCCAAACTGAACTAATGATGTATGGATATGAGTCAGAATCTCTGAGGGCTGGTCAGTTAACTCACTCAGTAGAGTGCAATGCTAACACCACCAAGGTCAAAGGCTTGGATCCCCTTACCAGCCAGCTGCCAAAAAGAAAAAAAAAAAAATCTTTGAGATTAAAATGAAATACCTAACCTAACTTGCCTGGTCATTGGCCTTACCGGACTTGCAGTAATACTAAGTATCAAGAAAAGTTTCAACAATACCCCTTTCCCTTTTTGGCTGTTACCAAAAATCCACTCCAGTGGATGTTCTAATTCTTTCACCTAGACTTCATAATAAAACTGCTATATAATTGGCTTTATCTAAAGATGAAAACCTCTGGGCTAATTCTTTCCCCCTTGATACCAACAGGTAGAATTTATTCAAGAGCTGCCAAAGACTATCAGTGGGAAGATAAAAAGAAATGAATTGAGGAAGAAAGAATGGAAAACAATTTAAATTCATTCTATTATCATGATACATATAAAACAAACATGGTATCTTTAAAATACGGAATCTCTAAATCTGTAGAAACCACAAGATTATGGACAGACAATAAAAAATGAGGTAGTATGCTTATAAACTGTTGATTTAAAATATTTTGTGGTTATGACATCAGAGGCTGAATTTTTAAATAAGATATTATTCCTCTGCATTACTATCAGTACTCCTGTAATTTGGTAATGTAAAAAGAATGTCATCAATTGCTGAAGAATTTTTAAATAGAAGCAGTTTCTGAACCAAATCCCTGCCCCATTGGCTTTCAAACCTTAGTTGAATAATTTTTCCAATGTTGGTACACAAATCAAAAACAATCTTCAAACCTTGAAATACAACTAAACAACTTATAAAGTTTTTAGAAAAATATAAAACATCATTTAGAAGATTATCATAATTCTCAAAGTAGAAGTATCTATCTGAAAATAGACTAGGGATGTTTATTAGTCACATTCTATTTCAATAATTTTAAGAGTTTAAAATTTGTATCAAGGTCTAATTATAAAAGAAGGATGTCATATACTATTGTTGCTTATTATATTTAACCTAGTAAACACAGTTTACAAATTTCATTTGTGGTTCTTCAAGAAACTATGATAAATTCAGCAAACATTAAGATATGAAATATAGATAAAATAGTGTAGGACATTATCAAAATACTCATCATGTTTGGGAATTTAAGGAATAATCAGGATTCATACATGAACAAACAAGACAAATCTTAGCCAACTGGTGAATAAAATAGAAGGTCATGAAATTTATTTTTTCTTTTTCAGTGTGTGTGTGTGTGTGTGTGTGTAATAGCTCCATTGTAGTCTACAAAGCTCAGATATGCTAAGGCTTCATAACGTGTGATAACAAGTTAGCCCTATGCTTTTCTTTTCTTTTTTTTTAAAAGATGACCGGTAAGGGGATCTCAACCCTTGACTTGGTGTTGTCAGCACCACGCTCACCCAGTGAGCGAACCGGCTATCCCTATATGGGATTCGAACCCGTGGCCTTGGTGTTATCAGCACCGCACTCTACCGAGTGAGCCACAGGCCGGCCCAGCCCTATGCTTTTCTAAAAAAAAAATCTTTCCTGCACTAAAAGTCACAGTAAAGTAAAAACAGGGCTGGCTGGTTAGCTCAGCTGGTTAGAGCACAGTGTTGTAACATCAAGGTCAAGGGTTTGGATCCCCATTGCAGGCGCGCGCGCATGCACACACACACACACGCACGCACACGTAAAAACAAAATTATCAATGGATCCCTGTAGCAGGTGTGCGCGCGCGCACACACACACACACACACACACACACGCATAAAAACAAAATTATCAATTCCTCATTGAAGGTCTGAGTCTCAAAGAATTTTTAGCAGAAACACTTAAACTTCTGTCACGTATATGGCTTGTTTCTCGCGCGCGCACACACACACACACACACACGCATAAAAACAAAATTATCAATTCCTCATTGAAGGTCTGAGTCTCAAAGAATTTTTAGCAGAAACACTTAAACTTCTGTCACGTATATGGCTTGTTTCTGGAGAATTAAAAGTGAATTCCCCTGTGGAATGGGACAGAACTATGTTGTTGGCTCTCTCCTTTTGAAGTATTTGCTCCCATTTGAAATAACCACAACATTTTCTGTTTTCTTGGTATTTCCCAATAGGGCAACAATAGAAGACTTTCCCATGATTTGGCCCATTATTAGAGACAACAAGTCTCTTAGCTCTTCGTCCACACTTGCATAAGGGAGGTGTCATTTTCCCAGTCTTCCAAGGCTCTTGTAGGTTAGCTACAGAAGTTAATATAGAGGGGAGAACTTTCCAAGAAGAACTTCTAATTGGGGAGCAGTTAGAAGATGTAGGCTTTTCTTCATGAATAGTGAAGGTCTGTTTTTTTGCTGGTGGGAAAGCTGGGGGACTGGATGGATTCCTTTTAGTAGAACCTAAAAGAAAAGGATGTTTCCCCAGAACTGAAGGATGAGATACATTGGCATTAACACTGTTGAAGGTACTTGATGTGCGTTCAGGTAATTTAAAGGCAGAAATATCTGAACCTGGATCTTTGGCTTCTTTTACATTATAAATAGTAGTTTGAGGACTCTTGTATACAATGGATTTAGAGGTCTCAGATTTTTTAAAAGTTTCCTCTATGCCTCCAAAGATTTCATGGCTTAGCATTTCTGATTCTTTTAAAACCATTAGTCTTTCTCTGGAATTAAATGAAGTGTCTAAGTTTGAGTCACTACTGGGAAGTACACAATCTATGTTTTGTTCAGGCTGAGATGCTGGTAGTAAAGCTACATCCTCCCAGTCAGCCAACATAGGTAAACAAGCAAAAGCAGAATCCATTTCCATATTGGAAACTTGATTAGCAGATGGAATGGTGGTAGAAACAAGTACCAATTCTGAACCAGTTGTTGAGGACTTGGATTTGGTATTAAATGCAAGATGCTTATTTTTTCTTTGCTTCTGCATATAGATAGGTGAGTTCAAGGTGGGAGACTGCAACTGCCCCAGAGAAGTAGAGGGCTTAGTATTAAAAAGAGATAAGCAACTTTTGTCATTGTGAAGACCTGCTTTTATATTGTTCTTTAGTTGTAACTGATCCTGCTGTACATTTATAGGATTCACATAAACTGACCTCATTTGAACTTTTCCATTAGAATTTATTGCATTTTTAGGCTCCCTATCATATATGCTGAGATCCTGGATGCTACTGTTGCAGGCAGACGTTTCTTCAACTTGATTTGTATTCATATTTCTGGACAAAATGTTGGGATTCTTCTTAGTGGGAACCTATGATTCCACAGACAAGTCCAACAGCATTAGAAACTACACATTCGTAATTTCTTCAGCACACATTTTATATGAAAACAAAGAAAAATGTCATTGATTTAAAAATGATTACACACATAAAATCTACATCTCAGTGAACATATATGACTACTTCTGGAGTTTGAGATAACACAATAGAGGCAAGACACCACTAACCTTGTTTAAGGACCTTGTAATTTTCATTTGGCAACCATTCCTGATCATTTTCCAAGCAAGAATGGCAGTATTCCGAGAATCATCCAACCCTGAGGAAGTAGATAATCAAACACTAAATTCAATAGTACTAGTGTAAAGAAATAACAGCAAAAAAATACTACCACTTAAATAGAAATTGGAGCATACTGTTTTATGATTATCTACTAATTTTAATCATGATAAATTGGTTTTGTGGAAAGCTGTGGCAACAATACCAGTGAAAGACAAGAGGTTCTACATTTATAAAAGAGGATGTGAAAATTTGTTCCCAAAAGTGTGATCAACATTCTACAGAAACCATGATTTGTGAGTAATATAATAGTTTTGTTCAGTTTTTTCACTAGTCCACTGTTTAACCTCCATTTGATATGCCTAATTCATTTCATTTTTTGAGCAACCAGAAAGTCACTAGATGGCAGACTTTATCTTACAATAGTTTATTAAAGAGGTAACTTGAACCTCTAAGAAACAATTTTAATTATATAGATTAGCATTTTGGGCTGAAAGATATTCCTTATTAATGATATCACCAAAAAATTAGATTCATAGGAAAGATTTTATAAAAGTCAAATGACTTACATAATGATTTTCAATTTATACTAACCAGAATGTTCTCGTCCTGAAAATTCTATTCCCACTTCTTTCAAGGCACCACTTAGTCCTTTCGGTTTTCTCCTATAGAAAAGCTAATCAAATAAAGAAGATAGATTTAAAAACATGACTACTGTTTGAAAGGCTATGTATTAACCACTTTTCATAATTTTTACATTAGATTTAGAATGTGCTTATTTTTTGTTGTGTTTTTATTTATTTTTATTTTTGGTTTCTTTTTCTTCTGTTTTTGTCTTTTTTTAAATATTGTGTTGTTTTTAGGGGCCAGCCTGTGGCTCACTTGGGAGAGTGTGGTGCTGATAACACCAAGGCCACGAGTTCGGATCCCATATAGGGATGGCTGGTTAGCTCACTTGGGAGAGTGTGGTGCTGACAACACCAAGTCAAGGGTTAAGATCCCCTTACCTGTCATCTTTTAATAAATAAATAAATAAAAATTAAAATAAATAAAAATTGTGTTGTTTTTAAATACTTTAAGAAATGTATTTATGTGAACATTCCCCCCCCCCAAAAATCTTATTTGTAGAATCCCATACCCATGTGTGGGATAAAATTCAGTCATTTTCATAGAAGGAAAGTGAATGCCATTATCTTTTACCCTTACCTTGTAAGTTGCTCTGAGATCAATCCAAGAATTTAAGAAGACAGGTTTTAACAGCTGTTTTCTTTTACACTCATACTCCAGGCAAACCCCCAAGTCCCAGTCTGCATTAAGGACATTAAAATACAACAAAGTCAATGATGCCAGCATTTTTAATTATGCTGTCACCATTTATACACAAAATGCTGCAAGATGATATAGTAAGAATTAATTGCTTTGCTAATATCTAACAATTATTCACTCTATATAACTTATTTTAAAAAATCAGGTTGCGGGCCGGCCCGGTGGTGCACTGGATGGTGCGCCGCTTGGGAAGCGCGGCGGCGCTCCCGCCCAAGGGTTCGGATCCCACATACGGACCGGTTCCCGCTCACTGGCTGAGCGAGGCACGGGAGCGACCCCGAGGGTCGCGATCCCGTTGCCGGTCCCCGGTCCGGTACGGGCGCGACACTGAGGGTTGCGATCCGTTGCCGGACACGAAAAAAGACAAAAGACAAAAAAAAAAAAAAAAAAATCAGGTTGGTGACTAAGTTTCAAAATGATTTCTTAAACACTCAATAAAACCTGACTATTTCAGAAAGAAGACTAAGGTATTAAATTACAAATCCTATATTTTCTATATTTTAGGAAAACAGAGAAACCAAACATTCTATAGCAACTTGAAACCAAATATGACTATCAATGCTATGTTGTCCATGGCACAGCATTGCTATAAATGACTGTTAATGGCAATACTACGTCACAGTCATACAAAAAACCTACTTTAAACAGCCCATTTTTTTTCCCTTGATGTCTACATTAGTGTCAAAGCATAAAAGCAAAGGATGTGAGCTACATGAGGACTCTTTTTACTCAAGGCTATGGAAAATAGAATGATGAGAGTTTTCATGAAATCATCTTTGTGTGGTTCTGAATCCAGAACAGAGAGGAACATCTAGAAGATTCTTAAAGTTAAGGCTTAAAATTTTAAGGTATCTCAGAATGGTAATTTTTATACTAAGAATGAATTTACTTTTCTTGGTTAACATCTGCTAGGCACTTGGATTTCTTTTCCTGGCCTACAAAGTTAACAAGTATAATTCTAGGTTAAGTATAAAACTAGAAATAAAGAATTTCATAGTGGTAATGCTACCCATTTGTGATTAATAGGCATAACTTAATTTTTACCTGACCAAGTAACAAATGCACATAATTTTACTTCAGAAGTAGAAGTCTTTGAAACCCCAGTAGCAAAAATAATTTTCTTCTGTTGCTCAATCTTACGAATCCATTTACAGAACTGAGATAAGCAAATCTTCAGAGGGGCCCCTTCATCAACTTGAGCCTGAAGAGAGAGTCACCAAATGTGAATTCAACAATCAAATTCCTTAATTATCGAGCAGGTATTATAATAGGGGAGATACTGAGGGGGGAATATAACAAAGATGAGGTTCTAACTGGCAAAAAGTTTATCTAGTGAAAAGATATTAAAACACATGGGAGAGAAATAATACAGGTTGAGTATCCCTTATCCAAAATGCCTGGGACCAGAACAACTGTTTCAGATTTCACAGATTTTTTGAATATTGCCATTATACTTACTGATTCAGCATCCCTAACCTGAAATGCTCTAAGGACCGGTTCCTTTGAACATCATGTTGGTGCTCAAAAAGTTTCAGATTTTGGATTTTGGGGTTAGAAATATTCAACCTGCATAATGAAAACTTGCCAAGGTAAGAAAAATCAGGTTGATATATCTAAAATCACACAGAAATATAATCATTAAATCCAGAGTGACAGAAATAAAAGACAAAATTGTGTCATTAATTTCTATAAAATAAATTTGATTTTCACTTTTATAACACTATTCTTTCTAATTTTTAAAGATTCCAATGGATTATGGAAGGAATATTATTTCTCCTAACACTGAAATGGTATATAGCTTTTTATTTTCTTCTTGAAACTGATTTCTGAATTTTAAAATATGCATCATACCTGCTTTATGCCTGTTAGTTCCATGCAAAATTCAGAAAGAATTGGATGTTCCTCAGGCTGAACATAAGCATGGAACTCAGATTCAATCTCTCCAGTTGATGTGTTCAGCAATACTGCTGGAAATTCAACTAAATGAAAGAATCATCAATTGACAGTTAAATATATAATTTTTAAATTAATGCTATAATCACCCTAAATTAAACGCATATTACCATGAGAATAGCATTATTAAAACAATCAGTTTCAGTAGAAGCATATTAAACAAAGCAGTGTGATGTAAAGCTCTTGATAAAGTTATGCCAAGACATAAATCAAAATATTAAAGTTATGAGTATATCTACTTAAACATATTACCATGAGAATAGCATTATTAAAACAATCAGTTTCAGTAGAAGCATATTAAACAAAGCAGTGTGATGTAAAGGTCTTGATAAAGTTATGCCAAGACATAAATCAAAATATTAAAGTTATGAGTATATCTACTTAAAAGAAAACTCTTAATATATTTCCACGATTAAATATGAAGACCATATGGAAGTTAAAATATACTCCCTTTTTGCAAAGGTTTTTTTTTTTCCATTTCTATTCCATTGAGGTTTTATACACAATCCTAAAACAATTATTTTATATAATTACACATTTAGGTTTTCGGAATTTTATTCTTTTTCAGTCAAGACAGGTTTTATATTAAACCACCAATTCGTAGATCATTCTGTTTTCTTAAACTGTTGACTGGTTTATATCTATAAACGTTAAAGTGGCTCATCTAGTGCTAGCTTTGGACACTGGCAGTCCAGACTTACTTATTTCCTGGCCACGATGGCACCTTCCATCATTCCAGCATGTCGACTCAAAATCAATGACAATTAAGTAGTCAAACAACTGCCCTGCAGAAGATCAGAGTGTTATGTTTTACCAGTGTTGAAAGTACAAGGCTACAAAATGTAAAAAATCTAAGCCTACTACTTACTAGATTTGCTTCTTCCTAGGTTTCCATTTGCTGGTGCAATTGACTTTCTCCTAATTAATCCAAGCTGCCTAAAAATGTAAAACAACCCAATTTGATCAACGATGCACGCTGTTAGAATAGGCTACCAAACTAATGGCACTGGCCATGTGGCAAAACCCTCCTTAATTTATTGTGATTGAGGGGAAACTGAACTAGACTTTGGAAGTGAAAGACCTGGGTTATTAGACTAACTGCCACCCTCTCTTTTGATTGTAGTATCATTTTACCTGCATGGGCCTAAAGTGTATATGTGCAAACTAAGACTAATTTTATCTGCTCCCCTTATTTTTATAGTACCACTGAGAAACTCAAATGATTGTAGAGGTAAAGATGCACTGAAAGGCTTAAGTTATTTTTGCCTTTGCATTTTTCAAGCCCTGGCTATGTGTACAGCATAGTTCTGAGGAGAAAAGAACATAAGGGCACGGTTCAGACCTCTAGGAGCTTAAAAAATCTGTGTAAAGGAACAAGACATCCATGAAACCACTGCAAGGTAACCTATGATAATACCTAAAGAGTCCAGTCTTAAGCGCTGGTGAGACAAACTACTTTGATGAGTAGATAGTTTTAACTAGGCAGACATCTCATATTGCAGTTTTTTGTTTGCTCAGAGATGTGAAGAAAGTGCTGGAATTTGGGACTAATAATAGCTAGTATTTATTAACTGTTTACTACATAGCAGGTGACCTATTTAAACTTCAACAACTCTAAGAGGTAGTAGACACTTGCTACCTACAGGAGCATTTTAGGGGATGAAAAAGCTGACAGTAAATTGTCAAAGAACGCAGCTCTGGTATGTGGCGCCAAGGCACGTCCAACTCTAAAGCCCATACTTCCAGAAATAAGAAATGTGCACGGCGTGTCCAGAAATCGGGGAGAAAGACACGCTGATTCATGTCCTGAATTAAAAGGTCACAGTAGGAAGTTTTGGGGAACAGCTCGATGGATGCATAAGACTCCCAGTGCTCAAGGCACTGTCCCGTCCAGTCGTTTCCCGAGGCCTGGACCAGGCCACACGGTCAGAACCCGGGGTTCCTCGTGCGGAGCCTCGAGACCGAGGTCCAGGCCGGGGCCCGAGAGCGCAGGTCCGACACGCCCGGGCTGCCACCGCGGACGCCGCCTGACCAGTCCTGTCACAGACCCCAGCACCGGACCAGGGGCGACCCCCGGCCCGGGACCCCCTAGCGTACCGGGCCAGCCGCTTGGTCGCCATTCCCGACATCCTTCGCTCTTCAACTTCCAACGGCCGGAAGTCGCCCGTCTACCACTTCCGTTCTCTTCTAACTGCCGACGCGGCGAGGAGGCGGCGGCGGTGACTGAGGGGGCGGCGGCGTTGGTGACTGAGGGGGCGGTGACTGAGGCGGCGGCGGCCCCGATCGCTGTGCGGCTCCTTGTTGGCGTTCCGGGGCTCGGGAAGTGGTTTCGGGCGGGGAGGCCGCTTGGCAGTGCCCGCGTCCCTCTCTGCCAATGTGCGGAGGCGCGTTGGCGCGGTCGGCCCACCGTTGCGAATCCCGCTTCGGACGTTAACGGCTGGGGCGGCACAGGGGGCCCGTCCGCGGAACCTGGAAGGTCACGGGCACCCGCGGCTGTCGGGGCGGCGGGGAGAGCCCTGTAGATAGGATCCTAAGGCGCGGATCCTAGAGAGAGTCTAGGCTGTCAGGCTCCTGCCGCTCACTCCTCAGGAGCCGGCCCGGGGGTCTGGGCGTCCAAGTTTCCTCAGTTCTCGCCGGTCTTTCTCCACACAGCCTCATGAAGCCAGAGATGGAAGGGACCGGGAAGCAGCCCGAGAAGGGCAGGAAGAGGAGGCGGGCCCCGAACAAGGTGTTCGGGGCGGCCCAGGCCATGAGAACCCGATGGCGTCTCCAGGAGAGGCTGCCCGAGACCAAGGTGAGCAATGGGGGCCTGAGCCGTCGACCTGCGACCCCGCCGCCTTTGGGGGTCCCTGGACGCAGGTCAGGCGCACCCACCCACCGGCCTCTGCGAACCTGCTCTCTGACTTGCAAAATGGTGATAATAATGCTCCCACCGACCTCAGGACTTTTACTGGCGGTTTAAAGCTGGTATAGTGCCTGGCAAGCGATGAGAATGTTGGTCCAGCGGATACTGCCTGAGGCCTTCTGTGTGCCAGGAATTGTCCTAGGTTCTGGGGATAACCCAGTGCCCCCAAACACGATTCCCTGCCTTCAAGCTATTTACATTCCAACAGGGAAATAATAAGGCCGATCATCATCCCTACCATGTATGGGGAGCTAAATATCTGACTTCATTCATCCCTTCTGATGAATTCTGAAATTCATCAGATTTTCATTGTGTGCCTTGTGTGGGGTACTGCCCTCGGCACTTGGGGTACATCAGTGAATAAACAAAGACCACTGCTCTAGTAGGGCTTATGTTCTAGAGGACAGAAACAGGATAAACCATAGGTATGGTAAGTGATATAAGTAGAGGGTGGTAGAAGGTGGGGGTTAGTGCTATGAAACAATTTTATTAAAACGGGATTGCAATTTTGCCTATCAGATTGGCAAAAAAATTTTTTTTAAGTTTAATGTGGTAAGAAGTGTAAGGAAATTGACAGTCTTACCATTTTAAAAATTTTGAAACAATCTCAAAGTTATGGAAAAGTTGCAAGAACAGTACCAGAAACTCCCCCCAGCCAACATTTCAAAGTAATTGCTATGCTGACACAATGCTCTCTTTCCACCCCACACGCGATATTTTAGTGTATTATTTCCTACAAACAATCCTACATAATCACAATGCAATCATCTAAATTAGGAAGTTAACACGGATATATTGCTACCACCTAATGCTCAGACTCCAGGTTTCTCTAGTTTTTCCAGTAATCTTTTTTAACAATAGGATTCAGTCTAGAATAATGTGTTAAATTTAGTTGTCATGTCCCTTTCATCGGAACAGTTCCTCAGTCTTTCCTTGACATTCATATAACCTTACTGATTTTGAGCAATCCTGGACCAATTTTTTTGTAGAATGTCCTTGAAGTTATGTTTGTTTCTTTACCAGTTAGATTCATGTTGTACATCTCTATCACAGTGATACTCTGCTCTCTTGCAGATTGACTTTCATTTTGGTTTGTCTCATTATTGGTGATATTAACCTTGATAACTTGATTAAATAGTGTCTGCTATACTTAAGTTCTCTTTTTCTTTTTGTAATATTGTGGGAGGTACCTCCTCATTACACTTCCAGTTTATTTTTTTATCAGTGTAAACTTGGGGATACCTACTTTGTTAAATGGATTATAATCTGTTACTGTATTTATTTTGATGTTCTAAATATCCAAGATTTAGTCATTAAGCTAGCTTCTGTGTCCTTCTGATCCTGACATTGAGCACTTTATTATTTCTGGCAGAAAAAAATATTATTCCAGGCTCATCTGTACTTTCCTTGCCGCAGCCCTGCAATCAGCCATTTCTCCTAGCATATCTGAATTTTAATTATTTGAATTTAGCATTTTAATGGTAAATCTGGGTGCAAAACATGCTCATTGATGTTGGGATGTCAATACTCCCAAAAGACCAAGCTAAGAAATAAGTATGTGTATACCCATAAATATTGAAAACCATGAATTCACATCAGTATTTCTACTTCCATTCCAACACCACAGGATTCATTCTAATTTTCTCCCTTTTCTTATTTGTTACTTTATTCTCCAACAGTGAGAAAGCTGACTCCATTATCTTCAAGATATTTGATCAATTTCCCATTACTGCCACTGCCCCCTGAGCCCCCAACCTTCCTAGCCCTGCTTGGGCTCCTTCACCCTGTACCAGGCCACCTTCCTTTGTGAATGCCATCATCACTCCTGTGACAGGCTGCTACCCCACCAACCCTCTCACATAGACATCCTCACCCTGTTCAGGCTCTGAATCCTGCAACAGGCCACTCAGCATTAATGCCACCCTTACCGAAAACAGTTTCTGACATCCGATGCCAGGCCACTCTGTTCTCCCCTCCTCCCTGCATGGATGACCTCCTCATAATGTTCAGGCTTTGACACACCACACCAGGACACCCTCCTATATGGATGTCTTGGGTTCGTGCTCCTATTACTAGACTGTTTCCCCTGTAGGACACCCTCCTCATTCTAAACAGGCTCTTGACACCCCATGCCCAGCAACCATAAAGACCCATATCTGCCCAAGTCCCACCATATCAATCTCATATATTTTTGGTTGGTAAAAATAAATGGATACATTCTTTAAGGAGTTAGCAATATTTATCAAAATGTAAAATAGACATGCTCATTTTGACCAGGAATTTATTCTGAGAAAATGGTTAGACAGGTGTACGTGGATGTCTATACAAGGATGTTTGTCATAATATTGTTTGTAATTAAGAAAAAAAAAAGTGTTGGGGCTGGCTGGTTGGCTCAGTTGGTATGAGTGGTCTTGTAACACCAATGTCAGGAGTTCAGATCTCTGTACCAACCAGCTGTGCCATGCACCTCCTGCCCCCCCAGAAAAAAGTTTTTTAAAAAGTGTCATTAATAGAGAATTTTTTTCAGGTAAAGTATTCATTTTTAGGTAAATTTAGATAATAGACTATTATTCAGGTATTGAAATTGATGTTATGTTTAACTGACATGGAAAGATATTCACAGATTAAGTTGGGGGAGGAGTTGGTGACAAAACAGAACGGATGGTAAAATCCCTTGGGGGCAGTATAGCATAGAGATGAAAAGAGCTGCATTCCAATCTTGGTTCTGCCATTTATCTGTTTCTCCATTTCTTTATCTGGAAAATAGAGATAATATTAGTACCAACTTAAGAAGAGTTGTGAGAATTAAATGATTTAATATATGTGCTCAGAACTGTATCTGGCTAATGCTAAGTGCTCAACATTAGTTTAAGGCATAAGGAGAAATTAGCAATAATAATATCTGATGTTTATTAAGTATTTGTGGTATGTCACATTAGGCTCAGAACTTTGCACTTGCACTCTCTCCTTAGTCTTCCCAATAATCTCATGAGACAGAATTATAGTTACACTATAGATGAATAAACTGAGTCTTAGAAAGATTAAGACACTCGTTCAAGACAATAGAGCTTGATATTTGAACTCAGGTAGTATGACTCCAGGGCTTGAGCTCCTAATCGCCATACTCTGCTGCCTCCCAGACCAAAATGAAAGTAATAATTATCTCTGACTATTATCTATCTATTGTGTATATTTTATCTGTTTTACCATTCTCTATTATCTGAGTCTTTTATAATGAGCAGGAATTACTTTAATAACCAAATATAAGTGCAAAGCCTTTTTAAGGAGGTGGGGAGCTTCACTGAACTCTGTTGCCCCAGGATAAATTCTGACTCAGTTTAGAGCACATTGATCTCCTATGATCTGGGTCCTGCTTCCCTCTCTTCATCCCTCCACTACGCTGCAACATGCAATCTTGGCTCCAGCCAAACCAAGCTATGTGTTTGGACACGGTGTTTCCTCCAACCTCTCAGACTCCTTATTTTCAAGGCTCAGCCCCAGTATTTTCATTTCAGTAAAGCCATCCCCAAAACTCTCTAACCCCCAAGACAGTTAGCCTCTTTGCTCACATACCTTTGTGATAGCACTTAACCACATTGTGTTGTAGTAACCTGTTACTTATCTGTTTCCCCTAGTAGAATGGACTTCTTGAGAACATGAATCATACATAATTCATCCTACTATCCGTAGGATATAACCCAGTATCTATAATTTAGGTTTTGTGTCAGTGTTTATTAAATATTCTATTAATAATGTCATACCACAGATTGTTTAGATGTTAATTTTCAATTAATTAGAACCCTCCTTATATTTGCATATATGTTAATCAGAAACTAGAACAATTTAATAATTTGCCTTGCTTTGTTGCTATTCTTGATAATCATGGTTTGCTGTGCCCTGACTTATCTTTGCAGAAAGCCTGCTTATCTGCCATTTTATTTGCTGAAAACTGTGAAGTAACCCATGACCAGCTATGTGAATTACTGAAGTATGCAGTTCTGGGCAAATCCAGTGTTCCTAAACACAGGTATGAGATGAACTTAAATGGTGGGTATAGATCAGAGGTTTCAGACTGTTGTCTAGAGGACCATATCTGGCTTACTGAAATTGTTTGTCATGCAGCTTGTCCTAATTTTTTTTTTTTAATGATGGCTGCCAACAGTTAAATTTGGGGATTCGTATATAAAAATTCAGATTTTTGACTTGTTCAAAAAACTCAGTAATCTGGCAACTATCCCTGTATTCCCACATGGCAACAATTTGTTAAAGCTGAATGCTAGCCTTCCCCTTTAGATGGGGCATATACACTTCAATGTTCCAACTGGTCTGCTTTCCTTGTTTACAGTATCTATCTGACCACAATGGGTATTTTAGTTTGTTAGCCCTGGAGTAGACCCAATTGAAATAACAAGATCATATGTTAAGAATTTCAGTTAATCTTTTTCTTCATTTTACATATAAAGGGCAAAGAGAGAAATTTACTTTTTGTGTGTGTGTGTGGCAGCTGGCTCTTATGGGGATCCAAACCCTTGACCTTAGAATTTTACTATTCTGATATTGTCAATGCCATTATTACATATGAAGATTGTTTTTGTATGTTTACCAATAAGAGATTTTCAAAAGCACACATCTCTCTAGGGGAGGTTGTTATGAATTGGCTAGATACTTCAGAAGTCATCTTCTACATCCACAAATACTGCCATCAGTCTCGTTTTACCTGAAACTGTATTTCTTGAAGCCAGCCATATGATTACCTGCCTTAGAAAGGGCTGCAGAGTAGGTTGGGATCTTAGGAATTGTGCCTCTTTGTAGTGAGCTTAGTTTTGATTTAAGACAATGGATTTAAATGTATTGCATTCCACTAGGTATTTTGCTTGATTTGAATGTAACAAATACTTATCTCATGAGATCTTTATTTGAATTCTGTGCAATAATAGCTGTCTTTCAGTTCCAGGCAGTCAATGAGTGATTATGAATTCCATTATCTGTCACTCACTGCATTTTTTTTTACATTTTCCTTCTATATGCCTGTAATTGACTTGAGGGTATCACTCTTAGCTGTGTTGGTTTGGTTTTTCAACAGCTGGTGCCAGCTTTTTCACCACAACCACCTGAACAACCTGAACAATGTGGTGGTTTTTGTTCTGCAGGGAATGAGTCAACTGCACTTTTACAGGTTCTATTTGGAGTTCGGATTTCTCCGAAAAGCATTTAGATATGTAAGTTAAGAAAACTTTGTATTAGGGGCTGAGTCAGGATCTCGCATCCTGAGACTAGTGCGTGTGCTTGGGACCATGTTCCTTGGCAACCTGACTGAACAAGCAATAGGGGATGTAGAAAGCAAAAAGGACCAACATTCAGAGACCTCATGTTGAGGTTAGGTTTGTAATCTGGGCAAAACATTTATTCTCAGATTATAATTGGTAGGTCCCAGATTGATGTTGTTCTATTTTATTTGGGCTGTGGTGTCTTCAAAAATTGTAACAATTTACATAAATTCTGTGTTTTTTGTGCCTCTCTTAAAAATATCACAAGATTGGGCACCCTTAGAACAGTATCTGGAGCTGAATAGCAGCTGTCATCATTAGAAGAGGTGCGTGCTCTCCATTTTACCGTAGCCTCCTCCATTCCCTATTATCCGTTTCGTCTATACCCCTAAAAGGCATTGGAGTTGGTGAGCCATAATTTAATATCCCTGTCTCTATTTTTTTTTTTTTTGCTTCCATTTCTTGAGCACTTCTGTATGCTAAGCCCTCTTATTAATCATGCTGCGTGCATCTTTAGTTCTCACGACAGTTTCTCTAAGAAGTAAATACCTTTTTATTCCCATATTATACATAAGAAACTGAGTAACTTGCCTGAGTTACAACTAGTAAGTAGTAGAATTGGAATTTCAGCCCAGGTGAGCCTGAGGCTGGAGCTCTCAACCTCTTTGCCCTGCTCTACCATCTGTCCTAACTACCTGGCATGCTGTACAGTGAAATAATAGATATGGAACTGCTTTGAAAAATATAAGGGACTTTCCTTATCCAAGTTGTACATTTTTGTAATGTTTGTCCTTTTTATAATATGTAATCAGAGAAGCCAAGAAAATACCTGGGGTAGTGTGGTGGGGGTGGGGGTTGATAGGGTGGTGGTAAGTGTGGTTTCATTTACCTCGTCACTTTTGTATATTAAGGAAACAGCCCTCATTTTACAATGCAAATGATTAAGGTTTAGACCTTTCATAGCACTGAACTGACAGTAAAAGTCCACGCCTTTCATAGTATTTTAACTACTTTCAAGCATTTTTGTAAAAACCTGTTAATGTATTTTCAGAAATTCCGCTTGCCTCCTCCATCTAATTTTCTAGATGATATTATTGGGTTGAAAAAGAAACAAACAACTGGAGATCTGTCCAAGGCACTGGAAGGTATGGCTGTGACTTTGGTTTGATGATTTGCTCATTCTAGAAGGTGATTATGGATATGGTTATAAGTATGTTTATTGGTCAAGTTTATTGTTACAAGCAACCTCAGTTCTAACTACGTTAAGCAGAAAAGAAATTTTTTTTTTTTTTTCCTTTTTTTTTGTCTTTTTTCGTGACCGGCAACGGATCGCAACCCTCAGTGTCGCACCCGTACTGGACCGGGACCGGCAATGGGATCGCAACCCTCGGTGCTGTGCCCGCACCTCGCTCAGCCAGTGAGCGGCCTGTCTGTATGTGGGATCCGAACCCTCGGCGGGAGCGCCGCCGCGCTCCCAAGCGGCGCACTGTAGCAGTGCGCTACCGGGCCGGCCCAGAAAAGAAATTTTTTTAAGGAAAACATGGGCAGGTACCCAGAGAGATTAGACAGCAGGAACCACAGCCAGGACTCATGCCTCTGAAACTGTCTGGTTAGGTAACTAAAGATACCTGGATACCACTGACATTGGACTGTTATGAATTACTGTGAATAATTTCTAATCCGTCATTGAGTCTTTGTACCTAGGAATGTACAGGTGGGAAGAAAGATCTTGCCTTACACTAATACAAGTGATACCCATTAATACTACTCACAGTGAAGAACAGGCAGAAGGTTTAGATGCTAGCCAGCTAAAAGATAAATATCTGTGGTAGCAGTGTTTTTCAAACTGGGTTTTGTCCTTTTAGGAAGTTATAGCTAACTTTCTGCTTTTGGGGTGGGAGTGTTGAGTGATGGAATAGAATAGGAATTATCAGCGTTCATTGCATGTAGTAAAGATAAGTTGTTCAATGATGCTTTTTAATGTTCAGATAAAATAATTGAATAATTGTACTGAAGGGACATTAAAAAGTGGTAAGGAACAACTAGTGATTCCCTCTCATCTCCCGAGCTGTGTATCTGGTTATCCTCTGTATCGATAGCATCTGACCTCTAACTTCCCATCTTGCCATTGTTCTTTTTCCTTCCAATAGATACCCATATCTGATCTGCAGCTGTGTTTGGCTTGACCAATGCTATATTTTCAACATCTTTGAGTAAATCACTGAGTAATCTTTATGAGATTCTAGGCTCAAATTAAGGCATTGAGTTGTAAAAGAAAAGGTATAATCAGGAAAAAGAAATTTGACATGGCTGAAGAATATAGTTTGTTGTGGATGCTGGAGGGGGGAATAGGAGGAGGTAGTGGTGAGAGTTTAGGCTGGAGAGGCAGATTAAGGCCGTATCCTGCAGGCTTTGAATGCCATGACTAAAGACTTCAGATTTTATTTTGTAAGCACTGAGGAGCCAGATGGGTTATGACTGCTCCTCTATCCTCTTGAGGATTTCACTTCATCTTCCCATCCTGAATATCAAAGTCCTCAAGGCACAGACCATAGCACTCTGATCTTCCTTCAGTCTTTCCTTTGGGGTATTCATTTACTCTTCTCAAATTTGCCTATCAGTCTTCTATGAATACTGCTATATCTTTATCTCTAAGTTTGATGTCCTAGATTCTAGACTTGTATTTTCAATTGCCTGCTGGACATTGCTGCTTGGATATTCTACTGCCCTCTCAGTAATAACATAGCTAAAAGCATTTTCCTCATTCCCAAATAATGGGCTCCTATCTTCAAATCATTTCTTTTTTTAGCATCATTTTTCTTTAAGACACCAGTCTTGAATTTGAGAATTACTTTTCTCTTGGTTCCCCATTCCCTATTTCCCCATTCCCTTTGCACCTATAAATCTCTCTTCAGGTGTTACTTTATCAGAGATCTTCCTTAACCACCCTATATCAAATAAGAGGGTACTTCAAAAAGTTGATGGATTCATATCATCTTTTAATTCTGTTTTTTCACAAACATTTTGAAGTACCCTTGGTATGACAGTAACTGTTTTCCTGCCCCAGCACTCCCTATCCTTCCCCTCGTTTACTTTTTTCCATACCCCTTATCCCCACCTGATGAATTACATATTTATTCATTTATTGTCCATCTTCCCAATTAGAATTTAAATTCCATGGGGAATTTTGTTGGTTTTGTTCATTGGGGAACCCGTGGTGGCTAGAGCAATGCTAGGCATGTAATAAGCAGTCAGTAAATATTTTGTTGATTGAATTGTTTTGTCACCATGCTCTACCAGTTTTTTTGTATAATATTTCTTTCATATTTCCCTTTCCTCTCCCTTCCCTTCTACCATGTTAATCCAGACACTAGTTATTATTATTATTTTTTTTGCCAGAATTAACTGCAAAGCCTTTTCTACTTTCTCTCTCTACTCCATTTTTCACAAATCTTTGAGCGTGATGTTTCTTAAAATACTGTTTTTGTCACTTCCCTTCTTAGGAACTTTGTTTCTCCCTGAATGATGGACTAAAGTTCAAATTCTTATACCTGGCATTTATAATGGTCTACAATTCCCTTTTTTTTTTTTTTTTTTTTCCTTTTTTTCTTTTTTTTGTGACCGGCTATGGATCGCAACCCTCAGGGTCGCACC